TAGTCAATTTTGTGGATAGAAAAACAAACTTTACATTTTTGTCAAGGTTTTGTTGTCGCTTGACATCAAAATTCATAAGTGCCGACTCAAAGCTGTCAAAATAGGACGGACACATAATTAATTGTATAACTCATTATGTCATTCAACAAAACAAAAGTAATAACATTTGACTTCTAAGAGTTAAATTTAGACACTCTTCCAGCACTGTGCCAGACTACATTGGAATTCAGTGCAGGTAGTACTACTGCACATTCGGCACATTACAGCCTCACTGATTCTGTGCATAATGTCCACCAGGAGAAAAAGCACAAAGAGACATTTCAGAAAGGAGCGTCTTAGCAATAGAGGAAATATAGGGCATTTGATCTAAACAAACGACCATGTGTGGGACACGTGGAGACGGGCAGAGCTCATGGCTGATGTGTTGACCTTAACAAACCACGTACCTCCGGGAAGCTGCTGCTCAGGGCCTGCTTTCCCAAAACCATTGTATGGTTAAGACTGTCTGTTCTTCACAAAGACTGTTCAAGCCAGGTCTGTGCTATGACAGTTTTGGGAAAGCAGACTCAGAATAGCAGAGCACAGCCTGTTCTGAAAGCCCCAAACACGCTGTCTGAGGGCCTTTACGAAGGTTCCGTACTCGCAGGTGAAAGAAACTGAAGATGTTCCTCCTCGTTGCTCTCTCGTTTTTTTTCACAGGGCCTGATTGGCTAATTCTCCATGTCATTTAACAACTGAGTCACTTCTGCTTTAGTGTTCGTTCTGGGTCAGTCTGTGAAGAGGGTAGTTCTGGTGAATTTGTGACTGTGTGTCTTGCCAGGTTTTTACTGGCCTTTGGCCAAAAGGACCCCTCTCACACAAACAAGGCTAAGGAATCTTCGTCTTTCACCACATGGTTATGAAAACCCACACATCCATCAGTCAAAGCCTGCCTCACTTTTTGGAGACAGCTTTTGTAGTTTAGTGCATATCTTTGATTTAGAAGCTCTCTTTAGATGTTTCTGCCTTTATGCACTCATAATATTTATAACTAGGATTGAATACAGACATAATGTGTGTTTTCTTTTTTACATAACGCATGTAACCGGAACATGTGTGTGTGTGTGTGTGTGTGTGTGTGTGTGTGTGTGTGTGAATTTGTCCTGTGAACAGTCAGACCCCTAGGGTATGTGGGTCCAGCTGTTACAGAATGTGTGCAGTAGAATGGCCTGTAGCGTTAGCCACTAATAACAGGGTCGTTGGCATAAATCATTTAGTTTTAGAAAGCTTCTAAGGCCCTTTCAAACCAAACTGTCCTCCAGAACGGTCCTCCTTCTTCATTCTTTCTTTCCTCCTTTCCCAGCTCCCAGATTCAATCTGCTTTTTTAGCCGCTGGTTCTTTCTCTTTAGACCTCCTCCTTATCCAAATTTTGCACGACAGAAATGTAGTGTCAAACTGTCATCATGGCTCTCTCATGTCCAGCAGACTATCAGCCACCTTGGCGCTAGATTTGACATACGCTGCACATTATATTGAGCCGGTACATGGAGAGCTGGATATTTATGCTAGTTTGACAGTGATTTAGCTCCCTTCTTCCTCTAGCCCAGGGGTCAGCAACCCAAATGTTGAGAAGAGCCATTTTGCCCTTTCGACAAAAATCTAACCACCTTGGGAGCCACAACGTTTATGTCCATTTCACCAGCTTGGCTGTAAATATGTCTCAGTATATGCTAATGTTATAGTATAGACAAAAATAATATACAATAGAAAGGAAAACACAGACTTACTTTGCTCTGCTTTAAGCTTTAGCTCAGCTATACCGGCTTTTCTCGCATCTCTAGCAGGAAACATTTCCTCAATACTAGAATAGTTTCTTGTAAAATGCCTCTTAACGTTTTTTTTTAGACTGAAGTCAGTTTCTCATTCGCCAGCTTAGTGTTCAAATTTTCCTGTTCTACTTTAAATGGTGCCCGAGGTGCCAGAATGTAACTGCAGCATCATTTAAGGTGGAACGGGGAAATCTGAACGGGAAACTGACTTTAGCTTCACAACCTTCTAGTGTAGTGACAGTTTCTCATTGCAGATTAAACGTATCAGGAAACCAGCTGGAGTGTTTGTCTTAAATCTCTCTCTTTGCCGTTTCGTTAGCTACTAGTTAGGCAAGATTGTTGTCGTTGCTATGGTGACCAGCAGTCTGCGTGCCAACGTTTAGGGTTAAAGGGTGAATTAGCAGACGTAGCCTATATTAACTCCAGCGTTTAAAACCATTTATTGTTAAAACTGTGTTGAACGATCAGCAGAGCTTTATTTTACTGCAAAGGAGGATCATTTTATTATTACCTAAAAATTTCATTCTGCTGTGGAGCCGCAACAGGGCAGTAAAAGGGCTCTGGAGCCGCATGTTGCTGACCCCTGCTCTAGCCTTTTCTCCTTCTTTTGCATGTTATTTGTATTACAAAATGGGCCAGAAGCTGTTTTGACCGACTGTATGAAACACCATACAAAACTCCCTATCTTCTCTATATTTCACCACGCAAAGTATTTAGGTTTTCAGTCATACCAAACGCTACGAGAACATTTATGAAGAGCACATAGATGATGATAAAATAATAAAAAGTAGATTATAACAAAGAAAAAGGACAGTGACAAAACAAGCAACGTGAAATACAATGAAATCTGTATAACTCTGACTACATCATCTACTAGTTTCTAATACTAACAGAGTCAAAATAGACTTCTTTTGCTGCAAAAACTAAATAAAAGTGACTGTTTGCCGTACTCTTTTGTCCATTTTAATAAAAATGCATTATATTTATGACTTAAGAGTACATCTTGTCCAGGTTTGATAGAACTACCAGCCTTCCAAGCATACTATGTGTTTCCTAACCCTCCCTGATTAGTCTAGTATCAAATAAGTACTTTTATTTCAGCTCTTCTCCACAGTCACCTGAGATCTGAGAGAACAAGCTGAAAGTCTCAAAGTTCTTTTGGACACGATACCCATAGAGTTTTACTCTTTTGTTATTTTCTATGCCCCGTCATCTTCAGGTGAAGATGATTATTTTTCTGCAGAATCTGCAGTCTCACTTCATTTGGACAGTCCACTGTAGATCATCTACAGATGTTCAAATTGTTTACAAACTATCTGTTGAAACTGAAGTTGATTCTAAACAGTGGTGGGGTTAGGGTTAGGATTTGGACCAGGGTGAGGGTTGGGTTTAGGTTTTGGGTTGAGGTTAAGGTTAGGGTCAAGATGAGAGCAGGTTTAGAGTTAAAGAAAATTCTGGTCAGTTTAGTAGATATTTAGTTGAATGTAACTTGAGAGTAAATTAAGTATCTACAGAGCATCCAAGGTGGACCGTGCAAATAAAGTGTTACTGAATCTGCTTATTTTTCATTTAGATGAGAATCTTTATTTATTAAATAAGTATTGGACGTATGGCATCTTACAGTCTTTCTGAACTGCTCCAACACGTTTTCTTTTATCCGAATCTAAATTTCCAAATCATGCAAACCCCATAACAGTGACCATCTGCAAAACATTCTTGTGAATTATGTGCAACACTTTGGTGAATATTAAAACAGTGCAAATCTTTATGTGCTCCTTGCACTCACTTATTGTGATACATATTATAAAACATCATTTAAAAGCAATACGAGGTCTTGTGTCTTGTTGTGGACTATGATTTATCAATATGCCATACAGTGACCCGATGTATTTGTGAAGAAGTTTAGTATTTTGATTTGCTTTCTTTTAATAATGACACAGTTAACATTACAACAGGCTTGGACTGCTTAAAGGGGAAATCCACCCAAGTCTACATAGTTAAATGAGATGTAAACAAAGTCGTTCAGAGTGGTTTGGTGCGAAATGCGCAGTTCTAGGGAAACTTGCCGAGTCATAATTGTTCACAGTGGTGGTGATAGGAACCAGACGTCCACCTCTAAAAGCTCCCTCACAGGAGTTATTACAAAAAATGGTCATGAGTATGCCGCCTGATGTCTGACACATTGTTTTATGATAGTTTTGTGACAAAGGCTTTGGCTTAAGATGTATTTGAATCCATATATTTTAATCCAGTCATGGCAGAAGGGTACATGCAGGACATTGTGAGGCAAAATAGTCCCCAAGGAAAACTTATTTTTTCAAAATTATTACTATTTCATCCATCATCAAAATTACATATGAAAATTTAAAAGCTCAGAAGACACGTGTGGGTTCACTGGTGGTTTTGAATAGTAAATAAAAGCTCTATATTTGTGTTGTAGACATCATGACCCCTGGTTTCCATCACCACCGTCTGTAGGTTTCTCTACAAATGAACCACTTCATGTCAAACCACTCTGAATGACTATGTTTGCATCTCAATGGCTGAATTATTCTGAAATTTTCCACTTCAAGGTATTTTATACTGAAACATGTAAGGATTTAAGCTGTTTCAGGACTTCTTTTGACTTTTCACAGTATGTATGTTTTGCAGAGAAAGTGTTTCAGGGGTTGAGACGCCTGTTTTTTGAAAATATTAAATCTGTTTCTGAGCAGTTTAGAAAAACTGTAATACATGGTTTGGGAGATGTCTTGAAAAATGAGTCTCTGTTTTAATAAACAGCATCTTTTCATGTAGTTTTAAACTGTTTGTGTTATAAACCTTGTCATCTTACTGTGGACTTCGTCTGTTATACCTGAGAGAGGCACATGGACAGTTTTATGTCGGGACACCTGTATCCACCAAGTTGTATTAATGACATATTCTTCCTCTTCTTTTTGTTTTAAGTTCACTCAGAACACAAATGTATATTCCCTTATGTTATTATGACCACTGTTCTATTTACAGATGCATGTTGGTTGAAGTCACTACATTACACTATATGAGGCTACTTGTACGTGTTCTATATATCAGTGATCAGTGTGACGTGTAAGACCACACTTACTGTCATGTAGTGAGATTTAACTGAGCGTATTCTGATTATGTATGACTGCCTTACTTTCCCATGACTTTTCTGCGATGTGTTTACTCAGAGACCTGTGCGGTGAATAACGGCGGATGCGATCGCACATGTAAAGACACGGCCACCGGGGTCCGCTGCAGCTGTCCTGTGGGCTTCACCTTGCAACCTGACGGGAAGACATGCAAAGGTCAGTGTGTGCGTCTGTATGCGTGGGTGTGCTACCTGCGTTTAAAATGATGAGGAACATTCCTCCTTTTTTCTCCTTGCATGAGCTTCTGGATGTCAGGGAGTAATTTTAGATTTCCTGTATTTAGACTGCAAGACTCTGATTAAATTGCAGGCATACTAGGATACTGGATTCTTTCGCTGGAGATGGTTAGGTAGTACTGTGTGCCTATGCGAGTGATCCTTCGCCAAGACCAACTCCATCCACGTCTGTACGTCCTCTCGCGTGGAATGGGCCCGTGGTGTTGTTGTTGTTGCTCTGGCCGCGAAGCGTTCCCGCTTCCGAAATTCCAGCTCTGACGTCAATGGCCGTGTTTTCAAAGTCAGGCTGCCGCTAAGTGATCTTGGCACAGAGTGATGGTGGGTTCTCTCTAAACAAACCCTACAGGAGACTGGGAGAGGAGCACGCTAGCCAGCTACTGGCTTAGGCTGCACTGTTATCCTGAGTGTTGGTGTCAGATTTTGCGTGTTTTAATATGGGTTGAAGTCTCATTGTAGAAGGGCTAACGGCCAAAGGTCATCCCTGGCACTTTGCGTCCTTTTTTTATCCTTTTTTTTCCATGGTAGAAACAGTTGCTATAGGGATGTGGCGTGGTCATGTGACTATCTCTTCAATAAGGGAGAGAATGTGGCATGTATCTGTGTAAAATAGTTGAGACAGGCCTGTCTGCACCACACAGCAAGACTCCTCAGAAAACCCAATACTGTTTGATCAGTGAGACTCACACACAAACCCCCACACACTCATCCTGAAGTAGATACAGAGCGTAAGTGCATGACTCTGTAATTTTCCAGATTAGGGGCAGATAGAAGGGCTTGCAGTATGTATGTAAGAGCTTTAGAGGAAGTGCTTTGCTGGTTTAGGATGTGTGTTATGTGGTTCTGTTCGAGCATGAGGCGGTGCGTGTGTGCATGTGTGAATACGAATGCGCGCTGGAAGATGGATGTCAGTCTGGTCCGGCTGCTCCCCGCCCTCATAATTAGGCCTGCCTCGGGGTCTGCCTCCATAAATACACTATGATGTCTTTGATCTGCTTCGTGACACGCCATCCATCTCACACACACGTTCACACACAAAGGTCATCCATCACAAGTTCTGCCCCTTGGTAAACTTTGCAAAAAACTCGCTATGACAGTAACACCAAATCAGGTTCTTAATCAAAGTCGTATAGGAATCAAATTACTTTCTGAGTCTTTTTCATGAACAGCTATAATGAATTAATCTGATGCTTTTGCACTCTGTGTTAGATTTACAATGGGATGAAGTGGAGCAAAGTGAGATTAAGGGTTTTTACTCAAATCACAGCTGTACAAGATGACTTTCTGTTACACAGTGCTGTGCAAAAGTCAGAGACCCCCTTCATTTATTTGATCTCCAGTCAAAATGCCCATTAAGTACAGGTCATTTTTCAGTCAAACCAACATACGTTGTTGGTTTCCTTTTCTCAGTGAGGTTCTTCTTGACAGCTACACATCCTTTCAGACCCACAGCGCTGAGTCATCTTCTCACAGCGGAAGAATGGACCGAAACACCTGAGGATGTTTTCAGATCTGAAGCAGCTTTGATTTTTTTTTTGAGTGCTGTTTATCTGATGGGGTCAGTTTTGGTGGTCTATCAGGTCTTGTAGGTGGTTGTTAGGAATCCCATTTTCTCTGTTGCTTTTAAAATTTTCTGAACTCTAGTTTCGGAAACTCCTGTTTTTTTTTTCACTTATTTTCTTTTACTATGACTTTCCCCTTTCATGTGCAAGTGGGTTATTTTATATAAAATCTCCTGAGAAATATCTTTTAAATATATATAATAACATATCACCGCTGTCGGAACAAAACCTCATATCTCCATTTTTGGCATTTTTCAGTTTTTGACATAGTTTGAATATGCCTGTTGTGCTTTACATTGTAAGTTCCATGATGAATGGCCCACAGTAAATGGCCCAAAATGACTTGGAAAGACGTCTGGTTCCACTGACTTACATTAAAAGTAATGCAGGTTTTTTCTTTCTCCTGTAAAGTTACCATTTTGGAGATACAAGGTTTTGTTATGTTATGACTTTTGCTCAGTACTGTGCATAACAAATATATATACACCACAACTTTGATCTGTCATCTTTTCTTATAGTATTAAACACACATGCTGGATGTAATTTACTAGAACAAAAGATATCAAACTTATTCAGCCAGGGACCCTTTGTAGTTTGAAAAGAAATGCCATGAATCCTCAAATATTTATTTTATGAATACAATCCAAGTGTTCCAGTTTAAGGCACATTAGGCAATTATGTACCTTCGTATTTATTTGATGGGAGCATGACCTTTTCTCTAACCACGTGTGGCTTCTTCAACTGTGTGTGGCTTTTTGCTTTTAACAAACTGCTGAGCTACTAAACATGAAGCCCTCAGTGCATTCTCTGAGGTTGGAGCCAGACTCACCATTCATTTTTTTCTAAGATTTTATATAACAAACCTTTGTTCAAAAGACTTTGAAAGTCTTGGGTTGCTGGTATAATCAGGGTGCTTTGTAACCAGATCACTTCATGGCTTTGTTTGCTAGCACCTTGATACAGATGCCATGTTTTGGTCTACTGTCACCGTGGATCCCTGGCTATACATCAGGGGTCTGTGGACCTCACTTTGAGAGTTATGGTGCCTTGAATGGACATAATTAAAATGTGGCAAATGGGTGCACATGAAAACAATATATCGCATGAATACAACAAATGCCAAAACAAGTAAACTTAAAGAAAGCAATGGCATTGAGGTTACAGCAAAACCTTGTATCTCCAAAATGATAACTTTACAGGAGAGGGAAAAAACCTACTGTACTTTTAATGTAAGTCAATGGAACCAGAATTTTTTCCAAGTCATTTTAGGCCATTTCATTTAGTCCATTCCTCATGAAATTCGCAGACTATGTAAAGGGCAATAGGCATTTTCAAACTTTGTCAAAAACTGAAAAACGATATTTTCTTTGTGTGCAACCACTTAATACAATAAAATCACGAACAATTTTTTCAGCATAGTATAAAGTTGTCCCTTGTCCCAGTCTATGTTTGTGCATATGGCTTGATTGCACCAATGCTGATAGATACTGGCACTTAAATACTGTATTTGTATCAGGAATAGAAAATACTGATACCATAAAGCAATTTCTGACATGCAGGCTGCTATTAAGTGACTTAACATGCGCCCCAATGGATATGCACAGATAACACCACATAGTTAGTTGCAGTCTGAGTTAACATTAGTCCGAATTGTTATTGTGGGAGCGAACATTAGACAGATATATGGAAGGAACAGCTGGTCTCTTGGGGGTAACAATATCCTTCAGCCTGGGGCATAGTGTAGTAGCATAGTAGCCCTTAGCATAGTAGCCCACTAGCCATGTTAGTGTTTCCTCTAATGCTACAAAGCAGTACTTGATTACTAAGCATGCCCTTCTTCTTGTTCTTCTTTTCCTATCTCTCTTACTTTCTCTCCCTGCCTCTCTCCCATTGGGAGCTGCTTGGTCTTGCCTCAGTAACATAATCATTTCAATATAAACTATTTAGGACATGTTTAAATCCCCTGCGTCTGATACAGGGCCTTTCATCAGTGATGACAGACAGGAGAGCTCAGCCAACCTGCTGACAGACGCTAGCTTTATCAGTGAGAGAGGGAAGAGGGGTGAGAGAGAGGGTAGATGGGGAGAGAGAGAGAAAAAGAGAGAGAGAGGGAGAGAGAGCGTGGCTAACGGAGTGAAGTGATTGTGAGCAGATTCCAGATGTTTGATTAGAAGGCTCGTATAGAAGTGTCACTGATGGTGGATGAGTTATGTGAGAAGGTAGCGCATGGATGTGTGCATTTCTTCGGTCCGGCTGATGATGGGTACCTGAAACACGTTTCCACTGGCCTGCATACCTGCACTTTTGAAATTCTGTGAAACGTACAGCACAGCTTTAGCTAATGCAGTGGAGAACACAGTTACGGGTCATATCGCTGCTGTCGGAACGAAACCACGTATCTCCAAAATGAACTTTAGAGGAGAAGGAAAAAACATACTTTACTTTTAATGTAAGTCAATGGAACCAGACGTCTTTAGAAGTCATTTTAGGCCATTTCTTTTGGTCCATTCGTCATAAATTTTGCGCAAAATGTGAAGGCCAACAGGCACTTTCAAATTATGTCAAAAACTGAAAAACGACAAAAATGGAGATACTGTATATTGTTGTTGTCAGAACAAAACCTCGTATCTCCATAATGGTAACTTTAAAAGAGAAAGAAAAAAAACTGCTTTACTTTTAATGCAAGTCAATGGAACCAGACGTCTTTCCAAGTCATTTTGGGCCGTTTACTGTGGGCCATTCATCATGGAACTTACAATGTACAATGTAAAGGGCAACAGGCATTTTCAAATTATGTCAGAAACTGAAAAACGACTAAAAATGGAGATACGAGGTTTTGTTCCGACAGCAGCGATATGCTTTTCCAAGTTCGGTGAGAACATTGTGTTGGGCAGAGTGGATTCATGTGTGAGTAACGAGTAATTTATTTGAGTGAAAGATGAATTAAATGTCTGAGTTCAGCGAGAGAGCAGCCGAGTTAAATGGAAGAATGAGGGAAGAAGTGCTGTCAGTGATGTGCTGTATTTGTGTGTCATAAACTCAAGTCTTTAGTCTCATTGCACCTCATCAGTTTGTATTTCCCAGGTCCCAGCTGCACCAACAGCCTCTTAGCAACACGGACCATTTTTAGGGGAAAAAAAAGACAGTAAAAGGCAACTGCAGAGCACTGCAGAACTCCATTCACTAACCTCTCTCTTTATATACTCCCACCCCCTCAGTGTCCTCCTTGAGACAGTGTGCTCGAGCCTTTGCTCTGGATCCCTCCGTTTGTATTAACACATGTCAAGCTCACTAATCCGCACAATAACAGCCAGCCACCATCACCTCAGATGACTCGGGCTCGGCGTACCCCTGAGCTCCA